GACTCTTACTACAGAGTTTGTATCGCACTTGACCAAGCCCGAAACTACAAGTAAGCTTCAAGTGAAATTGATACATTACCTTGTGCATCTTCATCGGTTAAAGATACCACCCCTGGATGGAGGAAAAGTACTTCCAGAGAAGATGTCACATCTACATATGAGACAGATAAGGCAAGTGAAGACGATACCACACTTTGGTACTTAGAAGTTTCGTGATTACTTAACGGCTTGGATCTTGTAAGTCCCTAACCGAGGAGCTTCCCTCACTTGGGAACTTAGGGGAGCACTGTTTGTACCATACTTGACCAATCCTGAAACTACTGAGCACCGGTCAATGTTATACTGTCAAGGACCCAAAAGAGTTTCCCTCAAACTAGGAGGCCAATCACAGTGCAACACGTGTCGACATCAGAAGCCAATCACAGCGCAACATGTGTCAACATCAGAAGCCAATCACAACACGACATGTGTCAATGTCAGAACAAAGCTAGAAACTCTTCTATAAAAGGAGATCATTCTCCCACAATATTTCCTAATGTCATTTGTACTAGATCATTCACTTGTACTCATTAAAGGAAAGCTTAAACCTATGTACTTGTGTAAACCCTTCACAATTAATAAGAACTCCTCTACTCCGTGGACGTAGCCAATCTGGGTGAACCACGTACATCTTGTGTTTGCTTCCCTGTCTCTATCCATTTACATACTTATCCACACTAATGACCGGAGTAATCTAGCGAAGGTCACAAACTTAATATTTTCTGTTGTACCAAAGTCCCCACTGATTTTGTGCATCAACATACTGCATTTGTCTTTTGAATCACTTAATATTCAACGTTCTCCTCGTTAATATTTTTCCAACCAGGAAAACCCTAGTTGTCTTCAATAGCACACTTTCTATCTTATCAACTACCACAACCTATTACTCCTCCTTTGTGAGGGCCAATCGTTTCAAAAAGCCAAAGACCATGTCCTCCATTGAAAACCAAACCAAACTTGTTTGTACCATACTTAGGGCCTCCGTATTTAGATCTCATACAAATACTCGAGGGACTTAAATGTAATTATGTAATAAAGGAAGGGGCAAATATGTAATAAGTGAGGAGCCCTTATTCTATAAAAGAACTCCTCACCCTCACAATTAGGAGAGGCCAATTCCTAGGCCATGAGGATCCTCACACTCTCCCCCTCACAATCCTCTCAAAAATACAATATCAGTGTGGACGTAGCCCAAACCTTGGGGTGAACCATGATACATCTTGTGTTAGTTACTTTCTTGCAGATTCACGGTCGGGTTTACGTTGTTCCAAGACTTCCGGTTTTGTGTATCAACATTTGGCGCTGTCTGTGGGAAACGACACAAAAAATCATGTCATTTCTCTTTCATTTTTTCACCTCAGTCGTGAATCTGCAAAAACCCACACAAAGACACAGACACATGGCTCCCTCTCTCCATCTCTCTCTATGCCTCTGAACTCACACCTTTCCTCACAACCCACACATTTTCCACTTCTCAGAAAGCAGAAAAAACATCTCTCTCAATTCCTCATCCGGGGTTTGTTCCCAGTGCATCAAACTCTCTCTCATCTCTCTACAAAACCCAGAAAGCAGAAAAATCGGGAAAACGAGATGCAATTTCTTCTAGGACGTCGTACTGAGGTCCCAAGTATTCAAAAACCCAGATGATTAGTACTGTCCAGCGTCACCGACTCCTCGCAGTACTATCTCCTGCACTTCCCGGCTGATGCCGCCTCCCGCCCGCGTAGAAACGAATCGTTCGGTGTGAAGCTTCAGCACATGAGATCCTCCGCTGGAGAACTGATAATCCCTGATGGCCACGTCCCGGTCTATGTCGACGACAAGATGGAGCGGTTCATGGTCAGTGTCGAGCTCCTGAACCACCCAGTCTTCGTCAGACTCCTCGACAAGTCGGAGCAGGGGTATGGCTAATACAAATGACACTTGTCCCACCAACACACCACTTGCCTCGCCGTGATGGAGCCTGAAGTTCCGAGCTCTCCGTCGAAGTTTACCTAGTCGTACGTAAAAGTTCATGCTTATGTTGATGGGACAAGTGTTCGTGAGGATCAGCGCATTTTTCAAGCTGGTGTTTATGTTGTTGTTGGAACCCCTGGTCGTGTGTTTGACATGTTGAGAAGGCAATCACTTCGCCTATATTACATCAAAATGTTCGTATTGGATGAGGCTGATGAAATGCTTTCCCGTGGTTTTAAGGATCAGATCTACGACATTTTCCAGCTCCTGCCATCAAAGGTTTAGGTTGGGGTGTTTTCTGCTACCATGCTACCTGAAGCCCTGGAAATCACAAGGAAGTTTATGAACAAACCTGTGAGGATCTTGGTAAAGCGTACTGACATTGTGGAGGTACTGACATGGGGGAGGGATGCAGAAGATCTTTTCATGTGCGGAGATGGCTCGTTTGGTCAACTCGAGCATGGTGATTTCCAGTCGCATTGCTATCCTGTCTACTTTTGCTTTTGTTGACGAAGATGCCCACCATCATGCATATTCTCATTCTTTGAGAAAGCCAAAGAAAAGCAAATGGGTGGTGTCGAAAAGGCTGTCCAAGCAGCTGCCATATTAGAGAAAGAATATTGCCCTTAATCATGTCGTCAAGCGACATATCCAAAGCAAAAAGCAGAAAGCTAAAGAGAAAGTAAAAGCAAAAGCAAAGCATAAAGCAAAAGAAGATAAAAAGAATCAGAGATAATTGCGGTGGTGATGACATTATGGACGTGACCCATAGAGCAGATGGTCAGATTTATTTTAGAATGATGTAATTTATTTTTCTTATCTTTCAGAGACAATCTGTATAAACCCCATAAGAGGATAATAAAAAATAAAAATAAAAAAGGCAAAACCCAAAATAAATGAGCTAGAATGTTGTGTGGAGAGCGAAGGCCCATAAGCCCAAATAGCACCAACCAGGTGACAAAAAATACGCCCAGTACTACAAAAAAATTATTTGGCAGCCTGCTGCTATTATCACCAACCAGGTGATCAAAAGTACGTCCAGTACTTCAAAATTATACATGAGCATTAATCATGTCAATCATACATAAACATTCATGAGCATCACTCATATCAATCATACATAAACATTCATGAGCATCACTCATGTCAACATCCATGAGCATCACTTATGTCAATCAACATAAACATTCATGAGCATCACTCATGTCAATCAGCTTTAAAAGCTTCATTTACAAAAGCTCTAGCTTCAAAAACTTCCTTTACAGAGCTCTAGCTTCAAAAACTTCATTTACAGAGCTCTAGCTTCAGAAGCTTCATTTACAGAGCCCTAGCTTCAAAAGCTTCATTTACAGAGCTCTAGCTTCAAAAACTTCATTTACAAAAGCTCTAGCTTCAAAAGCTTCATTTACAGAGCTCTAGCTTCAAAAGCTTCATTTACAAAAGCTCTAGTTTCAAAAGCTTCATTTACAGAGCTCCAGCTTCAAATCTTCACTTGCAAAGCTTCACATACAAAGCTTCAGTGCAGGGTATACAAATACCGTCTCCGAACAATCGCCACTTCGGCCCATACATGGATTCAATTTGAAGTCTCCAGCCAACGGACTCTATTGACTGAAGACTTGGGGGACTATACTATGTACCATATATTGGGCCTCATAAAAAAATTACTTGGGGGGGACTTAGCCTATTATTTATGTATTGAGGAGCGAACCTTTATTTTATAAAAGGGACTCCCTCACTTTCATTAGAGAGTACCCATTACTTATGTATTGAGGAGCGAGCCCTTAATTTATAAAAGGGACTCCCTCACTTTCATTAGAGAGCACCCATTACTTATGTATTGAGGAGCGAACCCTTAATTTATAAAAGGGACACCCTCACCATCATTAGAGAGCATCGCTGCCTGTTGAGCAACCGCCTCGTTGCGAGCATCAACTCTAGCCCATCATTTATGTATTAAGGAACGATCCCTTATTCTATAAAAGGGACTTCCTTACCTTCAACGCCATAAGCCGAGCCAATCAAGGCAACATAAGCCACAAGCCGAGCAACCTCGCAACATGTGCTACTTCTAGTTGAGCCTCATTTCACATTGAGCGCCGCCTCATATCGAGTATTCAGCTCTAGATGACATCTAGTTACTTTGACCCACACATGGACTGAATTTCAAGTTCCAACCAAAAGACTCTCTTAACTGAAAACTTAGGGGATTACTGTTTGTACCATACTTAGGGCCTTCGTATTTAGATCTCGTACAAATACTCGGGGGACTTAAATGTAATTATGTAATAAAGGAAGGGGTAAATATGTAATAAGTGAGGATCCCCTATTCTATAAAATGACTCATCATCCTCACAATTAGGAAAGGCCAATTCCTAGGCCATGAGGATCCTCACACTCTCTCCCTCACAATCCTCTCAGAAATACAATATCAGTGTGGACGTAACCCAAACCTTGGGGTGAACCACGATACATCTTGTGTTATTTACTTTCTTGCAGATTCACAGCTGGATTTACGTTGTTCCAAAACTTCCGGTTTTGTGCATCAACAAAACTAAATAGGCTTTTACCCAAACTCCACACAAGCGCTACCGCAACTCGCACCTCCCTGAAAACCATACAGCGAAACTATCCACACCAGAGATCTTGTTACCAAGAAACCCTTTCCCCCGTCGTCAAAATAGAAATAGGAATCGTCGTCGAGCGACTGTTTTAATATTCTCTCCTAGGGAACCCTAGAGCCAATGAATATTAGTAGTTACAGACCGAATACTAATTTTTCCTAATAAAAAAAATCTAAATCCACTCCAACATTGTTATTCTTGTGACATTTGTACATTGTATATTGCCGATAGATTTTTCAATGTGACCGGTAAACGGAGTGGTACACCACGTGTCACTATGCAAATCGTGGGATATATGTGCTAAAAAGTTAATAACTTAAAAAATAAAATTTCCCACCTCTTCTATTAAAACACGTGGTATACCACTTGTATTCCCGTCACAATTAAAAATTTCTCATATATTGTCATTAATTACATATAAAACTTCGAAATTGCATACAATATATATAAAAGATTTATTACTGCATATAGTCTCGTACTTTTAAGAAGAAAGCTACCCATAAAATTACAGTCGTGTTTTCTTGCCATCCAAAAACAAGCTTTGTTGCAGTATTGGTGAGGCACAATAGATACAATCAATACCTTCAACGTCCAACGAATTCGGAAATGGACAACCCGTTTATATCCAGTGGTGGTCCCCTTCTATCTATATCAGCATTACCCACATTTCTTTCTGCGTAATAAAATGCCGGTTTTTTTGGTTCTGGTAACTGCACGCTTTCGTTTGTTAACATGGATATCAGCTCTGACATGGTTGGCCGATCAGCTGCTTTTTCCTCCACACATAGTAGACCGACTTGGACGCATCTTAAAACTTGATGACGAGTACATGTTTCAACTAGTGTTGGATCCATTAGTTCTGTCTCTCGATCTTCTTTCCATAACTCCCAGGCCTGGAGAAAAAAATTAAAATCATTGAATATCACACCTTAAAAAATGAAAAAAATAACTTACATAAAGATTTCTGCACACTATTTTTCCCCTATTGCAGACCCCTGTTTTGTTTACTTTTTTGTCCCTTCATTTTCTTTTGAACAATTTTCTTTTGAATTGTTCAATCTGATGTTGAGAGTTGAAATGTGAGGAAGAGTTATCCCACATTGGTGAGCGACAAAATTTGCTATGTGCTTATATGGTCTTGAGTTACTCCCCATATTGCTAATTGGTTTTATAGTATAACCCTAATTTCATCATGGTATCAGAGCAGGTTGTCCCTCTTGTGAAAGCCCAAGGGCCACACGTGCTCACGCGTGACTCACTTGTCGTCCACGTGTAGGCTTGAAAATAGGCCACATGTGTGGGACGTGTTGAGAGTTGAAATGTGAGGAAGAGTTATCCCACATCGGTGAGGGACAAGATTTGCTATGTGTTTATATGGTCTTGGGCAACTCAATTCCCTATATTGCCAATTGGTTTTATGGTGGAACCCTAATTTCATCATCTGAAGGCTAGAAATAAATAAGGGTGTGACGGGAAGAAAAGGGGTGTGCAGAAAATAAAAAAGAAAAAAAAACCAAAACTTAATGGTAACTACAGTGATTTGTTTGGCATACATGTCCTACTAAGTTGAGCACACGATCTTCATTGTAGAAGCTGTTGTTTTTCCTTCCACTGATAATTTCAAGCATTAACACTCCATAGCTATAGACATCAGATTTTACAGAAAAGTGTCCTCCCATGACATATTCCGGAGGCATATAACCACTGTACCAAATGAGAAAAGAAAAACTTAGGTACATTATCTGTATATACGTACATTAATGCATGCTTCTCAACCAAAAGAAAAACACGTGATGATACGAATGTATTCATATATGTTATTGTTTACTTACTGTGTCCCGACAATTCTCATCGTATTTGCTTGAAGCTCCTGAGTGAAAATCCTTGCCATACCAAAATCTGCAATTTTGGGGTTCATATTTTTGTCAAGTAGTATGTTACCCGCTTTCAAATCTCTATGAATCACTTTTGTTCTCGAGTATTTGTGCAAGTAAAGCATTCCTTGAGTGATTCCTTCAATTATATTGAAACGGCTTTTCCAATCTAGTTGCCGACGTCTGATGGAATCTGTACAAGATAGGATTAAAGTTAAGAGAGGATGTTATGAACTCCCAATGAAACCGAATAAATGAAATGAAGATCTAATATTAAACTGGCTAGTGTAATTCCCAACCAAATAAAAAGTAGTCCAAGCTTTTGTTTGGCATGTACTCGTATATTAACATCCTCTCGTCTTCATGAATGCAAAATCCAAACAGTCGAACAAGGTTGGTGTGTTGGAGTTCATAGATGAGTATCAATTCATTCTTAAACTCCTCTGTGCCTTGACCTGAACATCTTGAAAGCCTCTTCACAGCTACTTCTTGTCCCGTCGTCAATTTTCCCTAAATTCATAATCCATAAATATTTCTCAGTAATTCCAAATACAAATATGATATTTTCTTAAGATTATTTAAAGCCTCACCCAATAAACAGGTCCAAAGCCCCCTTGTCCAAGCTTGTTTTCTTCAGAGAAGTTTCTTGTGGCTTCCAAGACCGATCCATAGGTAAATACGCTTAAATTAGGGTATTTCATGTTTTCCTGATCATTTTGATTCCCAACAACATGACCTATAGGTCTCTTCGATTCCATGAAGTTAAGCAATTTTCTTCGAATCGTTGTCCAGTTCTTCCCTAGTTGGATTAGCATGGGAGTTAAAATTTCAATATAGGGACAACAATTGTGAAAGAAGTGAAATTATGTACATCTAACAAGTTTACGGACAGTTTAAAAAGTTTACCTGCTGAAACCATATATATTCTTCTCAGGCGATAGCCCAAGAAGCAGAACACCATTACTAGTAATGCAGCGGCAATAGAAATGCCAATCCAGAGCCATTTGTGTGCTGCATCCAGTGATAGTTGTTGAAGTTAAGAACTCAGAGAGGGAAATGCATTTAAGAGAGAGAAAGAGAGTTGTAGAGAGAGAGTAAAAAATGTAATTGTGATTCTCATTAATTCAACTGAATAATACACATGGTATTTATACATAAATATCCTATCCCAATATATGTGCCAGCTCAGCATAAAGTATATAACTAATCACAAACATTCCAGGCATAACAACCAAGTGAAAGAATCTAATCTGGTGGAGGTTGGGATGCATTGTTGTTGTTTGAGATTATACTCTTAACACACCCCCTCAAGCTGAAGGAAGGTGATCGAACTGAAAGCTTGGAAGTAAGGGCAGCAAATCGATCAGCAGCTAGAGGCTTGGTAAAAATGTCTGCGATTTGGAGAAGGGAAGCACATGTTGAACACCAATATGACCAAGTAAACCATTTCTCGAATATAGTGATAGTCAATTTCAACATGCTTAGTTCGAGCATGAAAAACTGGATTGAATGCAAGAGCAATGGCACTTTTGTTATCACAATAGATGACAGGGGTCTGTAACAAAGGGAAGGATATGTCATGGAGAATCTTGCACACCCATGTAATTTCAGCAGCAGTAGTAGCAAGAGACCTGTACTCAGCCTCTGTTGATGACCGAGCCATTGTGGCTTGTTTCTTAGCACTCCAGGAAATGAGGTTAGAGCCAAGGAACACACAATACCCACTAGTGGACCGTCGATCCACAGGGCAACCTGCCCAATCTGCATCAGACCAAGCAGTGAGACATTGAGAACCCTTGGTAAACCAAAGTCCTAAATCCACAGTGCCCTTAAGGTATCGCAGAATGCGTTTGACAGCCTGCAAGTGTATGGTTCGGGGAGAGTGCATATACTGACAAACCTGATTGACAGCAAAAGCTAAATCAGGCCGGGTCCAAGTAAGATATTGCAAGGCACCAACAGTGGACCTATAAGAGGTGGGATCAGATAGAAGAGTGCCGGAATGGTCCAGTTTGGAAGGGGACACAGGTGTGGCACAAGGTTTAGCGCCAAGCATATCAGTCTTTTTGAGCAAGTCTAAAGCATACTTAGCCTGATGCAGTAACAAGCCCTTGTCAGATTTGTGGACTTCAATACCTAAAAAGTAATGAATATCTCCCAGGTCCTTGACAGGAAACATGGTTTGAAGTTGAGAGATGATTGATTGACACTCAGTGACTGAACTGCCAGTGATGATTATATCATCAACATAAACCAATATAAAGGTAATAGAAGTGTCTCGTTTAATAAAGAGACTGGTATCAGAGTGTGAGGAACGAAATCCCAGAGAGAGAATAGCCTTGTAGAAAGCCTCATACCAAGCTCTAGGGGCCTGTTTAAGACCATAGAGTGATTTCCTAAGTTTGCACACATGATGAGGTTTGGAAGGATCCACAAACCCTGGAGGCTGGAGCATATAAACATCTTCCTTTAAGTGACCATGAAGGAAAGCATTACTGACATCCAATTGATGGATAAACCAATCATAGGTAACTGCAAATGAAAGGAGAATCCTGATGGTAGTAGGTTTGGCAACAGGACTAAAGGTTTCGGAGAAATCCAAACCTTCCTGTTGATGAAAACCCTTGGCTACAAGCCGGGCTTTGTACCTTTCAATAGTACCATCAGGTTTGTGCTTGACTTTGAAGACCCACTTGCAGCCAACAATGTTGTAGTTGGAATGATTAGGAACTAATTCCCAAGTGCCAGTAGACTGTAATGCTTGAAATTCAGATTGCATAGCTTCCATCCAGTGAGAATACTTAGAAGCTTGGAGAAAGGTTGATGGAGTAGGAGGTAATGTTGTAAGAGAATCAACAGTGGATGGAAGTTGGTGTATAGTGGCAGTGAACACCTTGGGTTTATGAATACCTGCCTTTGCCCTTGTAATCATAGAGTGAGTGTTGACAAGAATTGGAGGGGGTAAGGGTGGAGGCTCTGCAGGGCTGGAAGATGCTGGAGGAGTATGTATGGACTCCTGATCAGAAGAAGATATAGGGGTCTGTTCAGCAGTCGAAAATATGGATGGAGCAGAAGTATTGCTGCCTTATGGAGCAGCTGCAGGTGAAGATTGTTGCTCAAGATGAGACACTGGCAAATGCAGATTGAGAGATATAGGAGTGTGGGGAGAAGAAGTCACACATGGACTGTGAAGTGAGGCCTGAGAAGACAGAGATTTGTAAGGAAATAAAGATTCATCAAACACCACATGTCTTGAAATGTAGAGCCGATTAGAGATAGGATCCCAACACCTATATCCACTGTGATTGAGGCTATAACCCAAAAACACACATTGCTTACTTTTGAAATCCAACTTGTCCTTGGAATATGGTTGCAACCATGGATAACAAGCACAACCAAACGCCTTCAGTGTATGATACTTGGGAGAAGCATGAAATAGGAGTTCCCAAGGACTGATTACAGAAGACTGAGGAGGTAACCGATTAATGAGGTAGACAGCAGTTTGAAAAGCTTCAACCCAAAACTGTGCAGGTAAATCACTTTGAGATAACAATGTTCTGCCTATTTCAACAACATGACAATGTTTTCTCTCGGCACACCCATTTTTCTTAGGAGTGTGGGGACAACTCAACTGTTGGGTGATACCTTGCTCATTGAAAAAACTTTGGAGTGACTTATTCAGGAACTCACCCCCTGAATCAGACCTGATACTTTGAACTTTGAAACCAAGGAGAGTCTGAAGTTTTAAAATAAAAGTCTTGAGAGTGGAGAAGACATCAGACTTGAAAAATAAAGGATAGAGCCAACTATATTTGGTAAAATCATCCACTATTATTAGATAGAACCTGTAGCCAGTACATGAAGATGTGGGAGAGGGACCCCATACATCTGTGTGTAGCAATTGAAGTGGCCGAGATGAATTACAAGGTAAAGTGGAAAATGAGAGCCTAGAAGACTTCCCTAGTTGACAAGCAGTACATACTGACAGATTATTAACAGAACCAATTACAGGGAGATGATTCTTATGCACAACAGAATGTAAAGTCCCACTAGAAGGATGGCCAAGCCGACAATGCCAAGTATGTATATCAGCTTTAGCAATCATCAGAGCAGTTGGTGAGATTGCAATTCCAGAGACACCATTTGAAGCATTCCAGTAGAAAGGGTACAAACCTCCTTCACTGGGGCCCTGGAAAAGCATCGTCCCAGTGCTTAGATCCTTGACATAGAATCCGAATGGATCAAAGGTCAGAGAACACCAGTTATCATAAACAAACTTGTAAACAGATAACAAGTTATGGGAAGCCTGAGGAACTAACAGAACATCATTTAAACGAAAAGTAGCATGTTTGGTGCGAATGAGGGCAGAACCAGTATGAGAAATACACAGACCTTTGCCGTCACCAACAAACAGCTGATCATTGCCAGAGTAGGGAATGGCAGAGTTGAGTGAAGAGGGATCAGGGGTGATATGATGAGATGCGCCACTATCAGTGAGCCAATAGCTAGGAGATGCAGAAGAAGTCATGGCAGACATTGCAGTAGGAGATGGAGATTGAGCAAACTGAGAGAGACGATTACACATAGGAGCCCAATGACCATATTGAAGGCATAACTGACACTGAACTGAGCGACCAGAGGAAGAAGATGGACCAGAAGGCTGACGAGAAGGACCAGCACCAAGAATGCCACCTGAGTTATTGGGATGCCAGTTGTGAGGTTTGTTTCCCCCAAAATTGCGATTCTGAGTATACCGATTGCGATTATGAAAACGACCACGAGAGTTGCCTTTGTTGAAATTACAGACAGGGGTAGAAGTTTGAGCAGTATAGGCATGAAATGGTGCAGTCGAGGAGGAAGAAGCTCTGGTTTTGCGTTTTTGAAGTGAGATTTCTTTGCTCAATAAGAGACCATGTAGCTCATCAGCAGTCACAGATTCATTTCAAGTCTCAATAGAGTCAACAAAGGACTCATACTCATCAGGAAGACCAGATAAAATGTATGCAACAAGATCAGACTCAGACAATGGTTCACCAGCAGCAGCAAGTTTATCAGAGATTTCTTTGATCAAATTAAGAAAGTCGGTCATTGAAGAGTCACCTTTCTGAATCGTTTGAATCTTCGAACGAAGACTGTGAACATGTGTGCGAGAAGCGCCTGAGAAACGCCGCTCAAGAGATTGCCACAGAGAGCGAGAGTCTTCCATGCCAATCGTCAAGGGAAGAAGATCTTCAGAGAGAGTAGAGTTGATCCAGATCATCAAGATCTGATCGCGCTCACACCAGGTCTCAAAAGAAGCATTAGGAACACAAGTACCAGAGGGATCGCGAACAAATGGAGGAGGACACAGATCCTCGCCATTGACGAGTCCAAGAAGCTTGAAGCGCTTCAGCACAGGAATGAATAGACTTCGCCAAGTGATGTAGTTCTGACGATTGAGTTTCGTCGGAACCATTCCAGCTACATTTGCAATGGAAATCATGCCAATCGTCATGATCGAAGGATTGGAGACAGCACTCGGAGGAAGATTTGTTGAAAAATTAGGGTTTGCAGGAGGTGGAGAGGGAGAATCCGAGGAGGTTGCTGTCGCCGACATATCAAGAGGTGCTGAATTGAGAGGGAAAATGAAGAGATCAAAAAAGTAGCGATCTGTTTGGAAGATCAGAAAATGCAAGAACAGCAAGAAAATTGCTAGAAGAGGGAAGCGCCGGATCGGAGTCGGTTAGACGATGGTGATGATACCATGTTGAAGTTAAGAACTCAGAGAGGGAAATGCATTTAAGAGAGAGAAAGAGAGTTGTAGAGAGAGAGTAAAAAATGTAATTGTGATTCTCATTAATTCAACTGAATAATACACATGGTATTTATACATAAATATCCTATACCAATATATGTGCCAGCTCAGCATAAAGTATATAACTAATCACAAACATTCCAGGCATAACAACCAAGTGAAAGAATCTAATCTGGTGGAGGTTGGGATGCATTGCTGCTGTGTGAGATTATACTCTTAACAATAGTATCAATTAATTTATTATATATATACGGGAAAGAACTGATAAAGAATATATACTTTAATATTGGCATATTAACCTGTTACGTAAAAAAGTCTAGATAATAATTATGATACAATCAAAATTGCTCGTGACGATATATTTTCAGCATAAAAACTTAAAAAACACTTTTACCACCCATAAGCGCTTTATGGAGAAACACTTAATATGTGCTTCTATAGGAAAAGCACTTTTCAAGAAAGCACTTGAATTGTCTAGCTACTTAAATAACTAAATTCATGATGAAT